TTTATAGCTCTTATCGGCGCAATCTAAAATTAATTCTCGGATAGATAGCTTCAATCTTGATACAAACACAGAATACAAGTCAGATGGTGGCTTTTCACAAATTGTTTGGATTCCTAAATAGTTCCCATCTAAGAGTAGCTCTTCAACTTGGAGATTAAATTTAATAAATGGGTTTGACCTTGACTCAAACTCGATCAATTCCAGTTCTGTATGGAATTCGCCTATTCGATTCAGGGAGAGGAGGTATAATAAATGCATCCCTAAAATTAACAACTCATTTTCAGACTTTTTGATTTCATTCCTTTTTGTTAAGTGTGGTTTGGTGTTGAGTTAATTATTTGATTAAAAAATAGTATATTTTGGGTTGAGGTTTGAAAAAATAATAAAAAAAATTTTTTTGATAGGTTAAATGAGACTTGTTTTTGATTTTTTTTTTGTTTTTGATTTTTTTTGTCTTCTTTTTGTTGTTTTTGTTCTTTTTTTTGTTTTTGAAAGCTTTTTTTAAGTTTACTGCTTTTGTTTTCTTTGTTTTGAGAACAAAAAGACCGAAAGGGGGTTTTTGAAATAAAGAAGAAAAAAAGAATAAAGAAAAAAGAATGAAAATTACCCATAATCAAAGTAATATGGCTTCACTTGAGAAATTTGTCTTTCAAAAAGATCCATGTCTTCTAATTTGACACTCATAATAACTGCTAATTCAAGAACTTCACCTTTGGTGTTGATTCAGTTTGGTTTGTATCGATTAAATTGATTTTTTATTATTTTTGAAACAAAGAGAAGAAAAAGAATAAAAGTAAACATAAAATAGGAAAAAAAGTATTGGATGTTAAGGACAGAAGATCGTAATATTTTCATTATTATTAGACAAACCAAGAATTTTTTCAAATACAAAAAAAAGAAAAAAAAGAAGAAAGTTTGTTTGGCTTACGAGCAAAAATAATATTTTTAGGATCTAATGGGAAATCGGTTCCAGGAAAAAGAATTCCTTCTTCTGCCATTGCAATTTTTAATTTGGTTAATAGTTTTTTACAAGCAATTGAATCGGGTTGTTTTTGCTCAACTTGAAATTTAAATTCCTTAGACAATTTGAATAATTGTTCTTCCATTTTGAGTTGTAGTAATTTATTTCTTTTTGATAATGATTGTTGTTTTTGGTTCAAAAACAAAATATTAAAAAAATAAAATTTGATTTTATGAGATTGTGATTTATAGTTGTAGATAAATCAAAATTTATTACTTTAATCTTTTAAAATGTAATATTCAGTTAACACATTTGATGGCATTGATGAAAATATGAAGCAAACCAAGTTAAGAAACAAAATAAGGAAATAATTTATTCAGAAGAAAAAATATTATTTCTCTTTGACTTTTTCACATGTTAGGTTGTTCGCCTGTTTTGTTTGGTTTGTGTCAAAAAAATAATAAAAATGTGTCACAAAGTCTTAATGATCTTGGTTTTACTATTTTAAAAACCTTCTATTTCCTTTTCCTACAAACTTTTTTAAAGTGCCTTTTGTTGAGATTTTCTAATGGTTCATATCCACAAATGAAGCTATTTTGATTACTGAGGATTTAATTTCTAAGCGTCAAGATCCCAATTTTATATCAACTTTTTCTTTTTAAGGGACTAGTAAACTAAAAAAAATCTTCAAGTAAAATTTACTAACAAATTAAAAAAAATTTTACTATATCTTGAAATTGAATAATAAAGTAAAAATCTGATAACTAAAAGACAGAACTTACTTTTAATACGATTTTCCTAAATGAATTATTGTTTTTAAAAGTTTGATGCATTTTTCTCATTTTTGAAAAGTTCAAAATTCAACATATTTCAAAATTATTACAAAAAACATTATTTTCTTTGAAAGAAGATTGAAATCTTATTGCCTGTAAAGGAAGTGTACAAAAATACACTTTAGAAATGAAACCGCTAAGTTCTAAAATAACTAAGTTTAAAAAATCTACTTAATCTCAAAAAAAATACAATAATTATTTTAAACTTGTAAAAAATATAATTTTTTGATTCAAAGAACAGACTAAATCTATTTTTTCTAGGTATTGAATGAAAAAATATGAGAAAAAGAACCAAATAATCGATTTAAAAATTCTCACGAAATACTTTTTTAAAACCTGGAAAATTCAACTTATTATCTAAAGAAATACTTTTTAATTTGATTATTTATAATCAATAATTATAAACCCAACCTTAATTATTTCAGTAAGTCATGAACAGCCCAATGATTAAATTTATCAAATAGGTTTTTCATTTATTTCTCAATTTTTTCAAGATTTTGGAACAAATAAAACAATCAAAATGCATATTTCTAATAATAATAAAAATAATAGTTATTATCAAATACCTGATTTTAATACAAAAGTTCCTTGTTTATACTCTAAATATTTGAAAAAGTATATTGGCAAGTCTTTTAAATTTCAAGAAATTTCATAAATATTTGTGAATAAAATAAATGTTCAAATTTTTTAGATCTTCCAGGATACAATATTTGATTTATTTTTCTTGTATTTTTAAAATAAGATTAAATACACAACGTTACTTGTTCATAAAGACTCTCAAAAATTACTAAAAGTGATATTTCTTCTAAAATAAATTTTTTTGCAAATTTTTATTTTTCTCATTTGATCCAAAAACCCAACAAAAAAGGATCAGATCTTTTGACTGAAAATTCCAATTGGAAAAATGAAATCTTTAAAAATGATTATTCATTTCTCTAAAGTTGACAAACGAAGTCTCTTATTGGTCTTAATTGTATCCTTATGTAAATAATTACTCTATTACCTTTGGGAAAAAAAAAATAAATAAGAGTTACTAGTCCCTTAAGGGAGTAGTCATTTTTTGAAAATAAAATGAACTTTTGTCAAGATCTTTAAAAATTTTTTTTGTAATTATTGTTTCGACTTATGAAATGGATGAGTTAATCTCATTTAAATAAATTTATTGATTTGAGTTTCTTTTTTGGAATTCCAAATTCACATGTTTACAATATAAAACCAAAAAAAAGTAACCAATTATTTTGTTTAAGAAAGAAGTTAATTTTTGAAAATGGCAAAACATATTTTTTGTTTTATGTTGGAAAGTATTGGTTTGGATGGCAAATTTTTTATTTGGTTTCTTTTTCTTTGATTAATATTTCAATTCAAATCTTCGCCAATAAAACTAATTGTGGTATAGGTGCTCAATAAATTAAAATTTGGTAGAAGCTTAAACACAATTTATCAATTAAATTCAGATCTATTAAGAAATTTTTGTATATTTTTAAGGTTTTAAAAAAGTTTATTTTCGGGTTTCTAAAAAATGAAAAAAAATAGTAAAAAAATTTTTAATTTTGAAAATTTTTTTTAACTAATTGTTTGGTGTTATTCACAAGAATCCTTAGAACTTTTTAAATTAATTTTGGTAGAAACAAAATGATTTTGAATTTTGAGGATAAAAATAACTAATTACCAAATCTATTCAAGAAATTTTTATATTTTGAAAAATCGAATTTTTTCTTAAAACAATAACAAAATTTCTTGCTAAAATTTTTAAATAGCTTTAAAACTTTAAGTATTATAACTATTCTACTTGTAAAAAAATACAATTATTTTTCAATTCGTTGAATATATCAATTTTTTTGGCTAACCAAAAGTTTTATCTCAAAAAAGAAAAAAAATCTTTATATTAATATTACTGGAAACGAAGACTTTTTATAGTATAATAATGATAAAAATGACAATAAAAGGGATAAAAACTTGTTATAATTTGAGAAATAAAATGAATTTAATTGTTTTCTCTTTCGGAAACAATGAAAAAAAAAAATTGATCTCATTAAACATATTTTCTTTTGGCTTTCTTAGTGTATCAGAATTTTTTCACACTTGGCACATAAAAAATTTATAAGTAGTGAAATACCACCAATAACATATTTTAAAATTTTTCCAGGTTGTTGTAGAAGACTGATCCCTTGATTGAAAAACTTTACTATGGCTTGTGAATTTATTGTTTTTGAATCTTTTTTATTTTTGTTGTTCTGAAAATAAGGAGTATTGTGGGATTAATTTTTTTTAGAATTTTCCATCTTTGTTTTAATTTTAGAGTTTAATCGAATTAAGTTTAGATATATTTTTGAAATATCCTATTTTTTGTGAACAAAAAATAATTTAAAAAAAGATTTTAATTTTGATTAGGACCTATATCAATTTAAACCAAATTGATTTTGTCAAAATTTCGAAACATTCCTAATCTCTTCATTTTTAAATTTGATAAACTTGTTTAATATTCGTTTTTACAAAAGTTCATTGTACTAGAATATAAATGACACTTTCGAGTTTGAGAATTCTTTTAGGTACTGATACATTCAAATAAATATCGGAGATTTTTTACTTCATTTTCTATTTTACAAATTTTTTTTAATCAAGTTTGAAGAAAGCATTCTATGGGTTTTAATGTTAAAAAAACTTTATAAAATTTGCTTGAATTTCAAAATATTCTTTCTCTTGAATTGTTTTAAAAGTTGAGATATGAGATTATAAAATCAGAAATTAAATTAAAAATTTTATGAAATTTATTTGAATTTATCAGTATATTTGTGATTTTTTAATTGAATCTTTCTTGTTTTTGATTTATTGTTAAATAAGTATCTCGAAAAGTTACAAGTGTTACCAAGTGAATAATGTGAATTGAAATTGTGGATATTTTTATTTTATTAATTGATCTGTTTTCTGTTTTCTATCTTTTTTTAATGTCATTTTAAATCTTACTAGTTTAAAGTTTTAAGTTGATAATAATTTTGGTGGGTTTTTTCAATTATGATTAAGAAAAAAAGAAACAATTTGGTGTAGGATTTGTAATACTATTTTATTAATTTTTTGATTTGTATCGATTCGAATAAGTTAACTTCTAAAATCAGATTAGAATTCATTTAGAATTATCATTTTGAGATTTAATAAAACAAGTTAAAATTACTTATTTTCAATATCTCAAAATAAGCCATTTTTCGAAAGGTAATGTGGCCGAGTGGTTAAGGCGGCAGTTTAAGGGACTGTTTCTTCGGAGCGCAGGTTCGAATCCTGTCATTACCATTTTTTTTTTATTATTTTTTTTCAGCATTTTTATCTTCTTAAAAAGCCAAAATCATAACTAAGAGCAAGAATCAATTTAAAATTAATAAATTCTAATCCTTTATATTTTTTTTAAAAAAGGATCAATCTTCCATTCTCAAATTTAATTGTTCAATCCTCACATTTTTTGCAAAAATAAACATAATGAAAGTTACTAAAAAAAATATAATTTTACATAAAATCAATATTTAAAATTTGAATTCTCAAGTAAAAAAAAAAAAACATTTCCAAAAAGCATTTGAATTCAATTTTTTTTTGAATTATTAAAAATAATATTAAAAATTCTTATATATTATTTTAAATTTGGTTATAGATAAACAAAATATACCCCATTTTTATATTTATCCTTATCAAAAAAAAGAAAAATAATTTCCAGTGTTTTATAAAGAAATACTAATTTTTATACCATTTTTATTCAACTTTTTTATAAAAAAATTTTTTCAAAGCAAGAAATAGATTAAATATCAAGAAAATAAACTTTTTTTCAGTCAAAGGTGCCCAACATTTTTTTCAAATATCAAATATTTTTTAGAAATGACCTTTGAAGATTCAATAAGAATAAGTAGAATACTAAAACTCTCACAGAATACTTGATATCCTTCTGAAACAAAACTAATTAAGGGACTAGTCTTCTATGATAACAAGGCAAAAATTTAAAATATGTTATTGGTAGTATTCTCTACTTACAAATTTTGTAGATCCCAAGTGTCAAAAAATTCAGATAGACTAAGAAAGCCATAAAAGAAAATTAGTTTAGTGATCACAATTTTTTTTTCCATTTTTTCTGAAAAAGAAAACTATTAAATTCTTTTTTTTTCTCACAATTTCTCTATTTTTTACCCCTTTTATTACAATTTTAATCATTATTATACTATAACATTTCTTTGTTACCAGTAATATTAATATAAAGATTTTTTTTTCAATTTTGAGATAAAACTTTTGGTTAACCAAAAAAATTGATATATTTAACGAATTGAAAAATAATTGTATTTTTTTAAGAATAGTAGGACAGTTATAATAATCAAAATTTTAAAGTCATGTAAAAAGTTTACCAAAAAATTTTGTTTTTGTATTAAGACAAAATTCGATTTTTCAAAAAAAAATTTTCTTGAAGATATTTGGGAATTAGTTAATTTTATCCTCTAAATTCAAAATCATTTTTTTTCTGCCAAAAATGAATTGAATTGTTATAAGGATTTTTGTGAATAACACCAAACAATTAGTTAAAAAAAATTTTCAAAATTGAAAATTTTTTTGCATTTTTTTTTTATTTTTTTAAAAATCAGAAAACAACTTTTTCAAAATCTGAAAGATATAAAAAAATTTTTTGCTTAATAGATCTCAATTTAATTGATAAACTGTAGTTAAGCTTCTACTGAATATTCATTTATTGAATCACCTATACTTCATTTAGTTTTATTGACTGAGATTTGTATTGAAATATTAATCAAAGAAAAAGAAACCAAATAAAAAATTTGCTTTCGAAATCTATACTTTCCGACATAAAACAAAAAATTTGTTTTCCCATTTTCAAGAATTAACTTAATTCTTAAACAAAACAATAGGTAACTTTTTTTGGTTTTATATTGTAAACATGTAAATTTTGAATTTCAAAAAAGAAACTCAAATCAATAAATTGTTTAAATGAGGCTAACTCATCCCTTCCATAAGTCGAAACACAAATTACAAAAAAAAAAAATTTCAAGATCTTGACAAGATTTCATTTTATTTTCAAAAATGACTACTCCCTTAATCAAAAAATCTTGTTAAAAATTGAAAAACTCAAATTCTTAGGGCACTCTATTGAGAAAAACAACAAGGTTCATTTTGATCTCCTATTAGAAGATCCAAATAAAATTGCAATAAAAATCAATATGATTTCTCAACAAGAATTTCCACAGTTTCAATGACCTTAGAATAACCTATTTTTACCAAGTGACTCATAGATCTTGTAATAAAAAAAATTTTTTACAAAAGAATTTAATTTAAAAAAAAAAATCGAAAAAAAAACAACAAAAATGTGAAAAAATGATTTCAGTTTTGGAAATTTTAAAAATATAATTTTTTCTTCTAATATCCATACAAACCCTTTAAACATATATATTTCATCCATTACAGCTGTTCCCCTTTGACTGGAAAATAGTTTTGCTAAAAAAAAAAAAACTAAAAAAAAATAAACAATAAAATAGATTATATTAATTTTATTTTATATGGCCAATATATTACTTGACTTGTTTGGTTTTATTGATAATGGCTTCTCAAATTAGTGATATAATACTCAATAATTACAATGGCGAATGGAAAAGCCAATATAACCCATTAGTGTTGGAGTAAAATAATATTTTTTTATTCTGTTTTGGTAAGAAATTTTGATTTTTCTCTTCTTTTGCGAATCTCTCTTTTTGATTTCTAAGATTTCTTTGTCTGAGTAAATTTTTATTTTCATAATAAAAATTATTCGTATTATTTATTCCTTTTTGGATAGAGTTGATAAAAAGGTCATCATTATATCTTATGATAATACTATTAAATTTGCTTCATCTGTGTTATGAAGTTGATTTACAATTTATCAATAATTTATAATTTTACTTGTCATACAAAATGCCCCTGGTTGTACTATTATGAATATTGAATATAAAGTTTCTTAATTCTATTCTATTTTCTTTTTTAAAAATGGAAGAAAAAAAGCTCTTTATTTTCTTCGCAATAAAGTACTCATCGTTTTATTGGTTGAAAGCAAAATCACCAATAATTCGAAAAGGATTTTCTTCCATTTGATGATTTTTATTAATAAATCCAAATTACAAAACGGGATTTTCTCTCTTCAAATCTAAAACCAATAATAAAAATTCACTATATAATTAATGAAATTAGATTTGGATTCTATTATTAGAATTTCAATTTTTTCGGTTTTCTTTGAGAAATTTTCATTCAAGTAGCGCTATAAACACCAATAATAATCATAATATAATAAAAAAAAAAAAAAAAATACAATATAGCAACCGATACTATTTAAATGAAGATTAATAATAACAATAGCCATAGCAAAATCAATAAAAATAATAAAAATGCCTTATATCGTCTCTTCAACGGTAAATGCACTAATGGTACACTGTTTTATTTATTTAAACTAATAAAATTAAAAGCTAATTTTAGATTTAAATTTTTGAAAAACAAATTAGTTTATTTCTGAATGGTCGGTCTCTTCACCTTCCTGATTTTCATTTTCATTTTCATTTTCATTTTCATATTCAGAACCATCTTCCTCCTCGTACCCCTCCTCTTCATTATCGCCACTGTTTTCATTATCATGCACCACTTCATCATTTAAATTTTTGTTCTTTGAAGATAATGGTTGTGTTTCGACTGAAAGTTTAGAATGGTGGTTTTTAGCGATAAACAAATTCATTTGCAATAATTCATCCCAATTAATACTTGAAAATTCATCAAAAAGATCTGATTCTTTTGAAAACAATAAAGTTTCGTCAAAGGTGGCATTTTCCATATCTTCTAAAATTTCCGGATCTAATTTAGTGTCTAGATGATGTCTTGCCTTTTTAAAATATTTTAAATCTGTTAATTCATTTAATTTGGGAACAAAAAGGGGCTTTTGTGATTTAATGTTTTCCCAATCTACATCTTTAAAAAATGGATGATCTTTAACTTCCTGTGCCCCATTTGCACCAAGTCTTTTGTTTGGATCTGATTTTAACAGTTTTGAAATTAGGTCGATTAGTTTTTGATCTGTTAAATATTTATAGTCGATTTCCATGCTTAGCATGTTATCCCAAACTTCCTTTTCGGAATTGCCATTAAAAGGTGTTATACCGACAGTTAATTCATAGGCTAGAATGCCAAATGACCACCAATCTGCTTCAAAGGAATGTCCTAGACCCAATAAGATTTCGGGTGCTAAATATCCTGGTGTACCGATAAAACTATAAAATTTTTGTTTTTCAATTTTTGATAAATTTTCTTTATCATATTCTTCGCTAATGTGTCCTTCTGAGTTTTGTGCATTAATTAAAAAATTTTTTAATTTGTTTTTTTTCTTTTCAGAATATTTCTTATTATTTTCTATTTCATTTTCATTTTCATTTTCATTTTCATTTTCATTTTTACTTTCATTTTCATTTTTACTTTCGCTTTCATTTTCACTTTTATTTTCACTTTCACTTTCACTTTTATTTTCATTTTTATGTTCATTTTCATTTTCATTATCCATATCATCATCCTCCTCTTCGTTTCCCTCCTTACTATCTTTGTTATTATTATTTTCTAGAGTATTATTTGTATTCTCAGAATAAGATGAATTCAATTCTTTATCTTCTAAATTATCAGAGGAAGTTATATTATCGGTGGTACACATATTGTCGTCATCATCACTTGATATATTTTGATTATTATCCATATAATCATCATTAATTTTTGAATTCATACTAAATTCTTTGGTGGTGTTTTTATAATCATTATCATTATTGTTATTATTATTATTATTTTCATGATTTACTTTATTTTTCCCTTTATTTTCCTTCTTGTTGCTTGTTGGCGGTATGGCTTTATTATGTTCTCTTCTTTCATACAAACCAATTTTAGACAAACCAAAATCAGTTAATTTGACATGGCCATTTTTATTAATCAAAATATTATCTGGTTTAATATCTCTATGGATAATCCCATTGTTGTGTAAAAATTCTAAAGCTAAAACAATTTCCGCCAGGTATTGTTTAGCAAATTCGGTTTTAAAGCATCCAGTATAGCCAAGAATTGAATGCAAATCCCCACCGGGGCAATATTGCATTACTATGTATAAATTTTCATGTGTTTGGAAAGAATAATATAATCTAACAATAAAATCATTACCAGACTTTGTCATTATGTTCCTTTCAGATTTTATATGCTGCACTTGATTTTTTAAAATCATATCTTCTTTTTTTAAAACTTTTATTGCATAGAGATCA